TAAAGATAGATAAGTCTGACACACACTCAGGGCAGATTAATCGCTATAGCAACAGAATACAGAGGAAGCCACAGCTGCTGGTTGGACTACAAAGACTCTGTAGTTCTAAATATGGCAGAACACTTTAATACAGAGGGCAGAGCAGAAGGTCAGAACTACAACATGGTGGAACACTCAGTTATTACAGAGGAGGGCTGAGCTGGCAGTTAAGAACTACATAATGGTGGAACTCTGACTTACTACAGAAGGGTGAGCAGAATGTTATAACTACAGACAGGGCAGAATGTTCTGGGCATTATATTACTGGTTTTACCAAACCACTTTTACACATTGGATTAGTGTGGCCATTTAAAATGAAGCTTACTAAAAGTTTCAAAATAAAAGCCTGCATATTGCTCTCACGTCAGTGCACCGCCATAGGCGGTGCAATAATATTAAGCTTTTTTTATGTTTTTTTTCTCAGGATAGTGAACTGCCTTGCGCAGCAATTCAGTTCATTAACATTAGCACAAACATTAGCATTTCATGGGTGTCTCATAGAGATAGAAATCCTTCTCCACCTTTCTATCTCACACACAGGGCAGTTTGCTGAGGATTAATCACTATAGCAACAGAATACAGAGAAAGGCATAACTGCCATAACTGTAGTTCTATCTATGGCCAAGACTCAGTTAAAACAGAGGCCTGAGCAGCATGTCAGAACTACAACATGGCGGAACTGTCTGTTACTATAGAGGAGGAGTTGGCTGGTATTCTGAACTACTTGTGCTTTGAGCATTATATAACTGATTTAACCCAATCACTATTACACATGGAATTAGTGTGGCCATTTCAAATGAAGCTTCTGAAAAATTTCAAAATAAAAGCCTTGACAATTTTTATATCATGTAATTGCTCTGTTTTGCATTAGATAACTGTTTAAGAAAACCACTGTTACACATGGGATTAGTGTTGCCATTTGAAATGAAGCTTACTGAAAGTTTCAAAATAAAAGCCTGCATACTCCCCTTTTTTTACGTTTTTTTCTCAGGATAGCTTTAATGATCTTTTTTCCTCGAGTTAGTGCTCCACCTTATGCAGTGCAATAATATGAGCCTTTTTTAGCATTTTCTTTCAAGTTATGGCATTGGCATGCACAAGCCAGTGCATTAGCATTAGTATTTCACCTAAAATGCTAATGCAAAAAAAAAAAGGGCGTTTAGAATTTTTTTACTTATTAGCCATGTTTAGTATACTGAATGGAGTAAGTGAATGACAGACAACATGGTAGTGATACCCCACATTCTACTGATACCATTCATGCTATTATTAGCGTTTTGGCTAATTTTAATATATGCAACATACTGAATGGTACAAGTACAGCTTAGTCCACATGCTTCTGACTCTCCACAGGTTATTGACTACATTGAAGCTTTATTTAGCATTAAGGCTAATTTTTAGCATCAGAACGCTGGGTCCAAACCGACGGGCACACTTTGGCAGGCCCCATTTAAATTTCTTCAGGAATTTTCTAGTACATAAATACAATCATTCTCACGCTCAACGGTTCTCGTCGGCCTAATTAGCTGAAACAGATTAGTAAATCAGAAAATGCCGCCTTTCAACACCGTGTATTACTGATTTAAGCAGGTGTAACGAGCCAGTCATTTGCATATTAAATTAACAAGTAGACAAGAGATTCAAATAAGGAGAAAACAAGCTATATTTCCGATTAAACTTACATTTTAACTCATTTCATGTAACGTAGATAAAAAAAAAAATTATTATTTTTTTAAACATGCAAAGTCGCATAAAACGTGGACGGAAAATAAATAAAAGTACGGAAAGTACGCAGCTGTACAAAAGCAGACAAAAACTCCCCGAGTGGCTCAAATGAGCAGCATTTAAAGCTTACAGCGGCTGTTTGTAACAGTATCTTTATTTTTTCTTACCTTTTTAAAGCTGAATTGTGGGGGGACAAAAGCAGCGTGGAGAGCGCCGTGTACTTGCTGGGTTGCTGAGTGTGAACTGATGGAGGCAAATTAAGTTTCACTTTTCTCACCAGTGGGGAGAGGGGGGCACCAGGAAAACAATGAGGAGGAGGAGGAAGAGGAAGCAGCTTCTCCTTTTAGCTCAGCGTTTTAAGATGAAATAAACAATAATGCTGAAATTACACTGGGGAAAAAAAAAATATCTACGTATGCCATAATTTGTGTAATTTGTGTGGGACTGAGGTAATTTGGAGTGAAGAAGGCCTTCTTTTCTTTACACAGCCATGTTCTGAGGAGTAGTTTGATGGAGCAACAGCTTATCTACGTGAGAGGAGGCAGATAAACCCAGCAGCTTATCTCAGCCGCACTCAAATAAGAACAGGATAATCTCACATTTTCACTCAAGTTAAACTAAAATGTAGCCATCCAAGAAATTACTCAAGTAACATTAAAGAAGTAAATAAGTTTTAGAAAAAAAAAAAAAAAAAAAAAAAAAACAGTGGTAATTTTGCCAGCAGACAAACAAACCCATTACATGTGCTTATTTGCATATGGTATGTTTAAACAGGGTAAAGTACTAACAGTGAAAAGTGTGGTGCAGTAAAAATAGTCTTAAAAGTTCCTTTTTTTGTAGAATAGTTACTCAAGATCACAGATCCTTCAACCCAGCGGCTGTTTGACTTTATAGCCACCTACTGCTCCCAACAAGCTTCATAAATGTTTATATCTTTCTGTTCTTTGTAGTTTGTCTTATAATGTTCTCGCTGTTATTTGCACATCCCAGGTGATATTTTTACTTTTTAACTTCTTATAATCTGTTGCTGCTGCTGCTCAGTTTCACATTTCTTTGGATCTGAGCTGTGCTTTTTTTTTAATACTTGTACAGTATTATTTGGCTAGTGTCGTAAATTTGTCCTTATGTACCGTCTTCTATTCTTATTTTTTTCAGGTTTTTAAATATAGAGTTCCTCAAAGTACATCTCCTTTGGCTTTGATCTGAATTTTGCCACACTGTAAACTGGACCGAAGTGTCCATGAGGTTGGACAGATTAGGCACTTCTGCATCAAAATCTGACCTCTTTGTCTTGTACGGTGTCTCGAGTGTAACTGTAACGTATTGTTTGTTATGAAAACAAACTGAACTTATTCCTGCTAAGTAGCTGCTCAAGTTTTCAGTTCTGTCATCTTGAATATTACAGCATTGTCTAATGTTATCCGGATTGTTTGTATCCCTATGAATGAATAAATAAGTAACCCAGAGAAAGAGATTAGTTACTCTTACAAACATGACTCATCTTTCTCTATTAATTGTTTTTATTATGTAAGTTTCTTGTGGTTTTGGAGGTGTATTTGGGTACTCAGAAAACCTTTTAGTTTTGGCTTCATCTTTGTGTAATAAATAATGACATGTAATTAAAATAATTTTAGAAACTGGCATAGACTGCAACATTTACAAAGTTGAACTGATTCAGACATTCCAGAGGTCAGGTAGGTACGTTGGCAGCAGGACCAAAACGCAGACACGTATACGGAATCTGCATAAAATACACGTTTTAATGAAAAAAGGAAAGAGAAGAGCAGAATGAAATGGAAGGAGCCAGTGGAGAATAAAGAGGCTGGAGAGCTTAAGAGGGAGTGGAAATGACCAGGGGACAGATAACTGGATGAAGAGAACCAATGATTAGCAGCTGAACCAGGGACAAACTGGTAGCTGAGATAAGGTGAAAACAAAAAGAATGAAGGAACAGAAATAACAGGGGAGAAAAACAGAAATAAACACTAATGAAACAAGACCAAAACACAAGCAATAGGAATAGTTGAATCGAGACAAGAAATAAACCAAAATGGAAAAAATATGAGAAAGCAAACCAGAAAGAAGGAAATTATCAAAAGAGAAAATAACTGAAACAAGATGTCCAAACTCTAAAGCAGGGGTCCCCAAACTTTTTCCTGCGAGGGCCACATAGCTGTTCCTTTCTGTGGTCTTAGTTTTTGCAGTAAAAAAAAACAAAGAAATTCTTGTCGACGGGGGGGGGAGGAGACGACGACACTTTTGGATAGATTTTTACCCAGAATGCAAATGGAAAAAACCGTGAGTGAAACGGTGACTGACGAGTATATATTCCATTGAGGGAAAGTAAGTTTCACATTTGCTCAAAAGCCCCCTGGTGGTTGAAGAAAAATCCACATATAAACCGGAAAAAACAATATATGAAAAAAAACACTGAATGCTCTCTGGTATGAGCAGGCGGGCCGGATCCGGCATTGTTCAGGGGGCCGGACCAAATGACGTGGCGGGCCGGATCCGGCCCGCGGGCCGTAGTTTGGGGACCCCTGCTCTAAAGGTTCATATGAGCAAGGGGAGAAAACCGAGACATCCACTCTGAGAAACGCTCTCCCTGAACGATCCCCAGGGTTTCCCAGCCCAGAATGGAGACCTGCCAGCTGGTTCTGGGTCAGACTCTCCTCCTGGTGGGAGGTGCAAAACATTTAGAAGACGTGACTCTTATCCTGTACTACATATATTCGCACAGCCTCTCAGATACTCTGCAGGACTTTTTCATGCAGACTACAACAAAAATATCCTCATATTCTACAAGGCACAGTGTTTTTCTTTTTATCACATCTACAATAAAAACATATTGTTTATCTTGTCTGATACTCATTTCCTAAACAATGTTTTGACCTTTTTGTGTGAGTCTTTACTTGGTCATATGCAAAAATAAAAATATAATTTTAACAATCTACCTCCAGCATCAAATGTCATTTAGATAATATCAAGTGGAAAGGAGCTTTTGCTTAAACTTGTTCTATAGACAAATGATAGAACTTGTAAAATGATCCAGTTATTTGTATCCTTAGGCGTGTCTGTGTCGGGGATGCAAGAAATGCAGTAATTTGTTACAACGGCGCCCCCTGGCGGTTGCAGAGACAATTACATATTCGGAGCCGAAGTCAAATTCCTTGTTTGTTTTCCCCAAATGAAGCTGATTCTGATCAACCACAGATAGTTGAAGGACAGGACAACATGTTTACTTTTCAATATTTAAAGTCACTTTCATAGAAAGCTTTGCTGAACTTACCCTTCAGTTTCTTCCTGTCCTGAAAATAAAATCCAGGAATTGCAGCGATTTTTGCATTAGGTATTTTTTATTTTTTTTTTTTTACATCCTTAAATTAAGAAGAGCAAGGGGAATAGTAGTACTATTCAATAATTCGCATACACATATTCCAGAAGGTTAAATCTAATCAGCAGCAAGCTATATAGCTTGGAAGAAATGTTGAATGTTATCATTTTTTGTTTACTTTCATTTTGGGGGGTAAAGTTAGATTGTGCATTCCTAAGCAATCAGTGCAAAATGCTTTTTCCAGCTTGGACGCAAGAAAGAAAAATAATTTTTACTCTTTTAGTATACACTTGAATGTTCTTCCTGGTGTATGTGCACCCAGGTGTTGAATCAGTTTTTAATAGCTTATTTTCAGTTCCACACTGGGGTATTTCACCATTTTTTAATTGATCTACATGGTATTAAATCATCCCTATATTAAAAAGAGTTAAGCTTGTTAAACTGGAACTTAATTGTTCTAAACAGAACAGAAAGAGTAGCTTCTATTCTTTGTGAAAAACATTTGCAATGTTTTTTTTAAAGCATGAGGACAAACACTGGACTGTGATAAGTGTAACACGGGGGAAAGAACCCGGATTGTGACTGAGGATGTGGCCCTAAAACCAACTGGTAGACCACTGAAATATCAAGTGGCCCAGGGTCTCCCAATTAACAATACCCAGGTAGGTCTGGCTTAGAATGATGAAACAGAAATAGTATACAAAATATATTTTATTTATACATTCTTTTACATTAAAAATTGACTATTTTTCCACTTTAAAACCCAATAAAGCACATGAACCCAGGACAAGACTAGAAGCAAGCAATCTGAAACTTAACCAAAGACAAATGCAAACCAAATTAATAGAAACACAAATTAATAAAATAATCCATCCTTCCATTTTCTTCCGCTTATCCGGGGTCGGGTCACAGGGGCAGCAGCTTCAGAAGGGCGGCCCAGACTTCCCTCTTCCCAGCCACTCCTTCCAGCTCCTCTGGGGGAACCCCAAGATGTTCCCAGGCCAGCTGAGACATAGACCCTCCAGCGTGTCCTGGGTCTTCCCCGGGGCTCTCCTCCCGGTGAGACGTGCCCGGAACACCAGGGAGGCGTCCAGGAGGCATCCTTACCAGATGCCCGAGCCACCTCAACTGGCTCCTCTCGACGTGGAGGAGCAGCGGCTCTACTCTGAGTCCCTCCCGGATGGCCGAGCTTCTCACCCCATCTCTAAGGAGAGCCCAGCCACCCTGTGGAGGAAACACAATGTTAACAAATCCCACATTGCCTCAACCCAGTCCTAGAAGGCTGTGCCCCTTAAACCAATTCATAAAAATAAGGAGATATAAACTGTTGTTCTGGTTCTGCACTGCTTGTGCTACAACTCCAGCTTTAGAAGACGACCTATTAAATGATTGGCTGAGAGCATCTAAACTACTAAACAAATGCACTTTGGTGAGAGGATAACACCACAACAGCAGCAAAAGATGACAATAAATTGTCTGCCGACAATAATAAAACCATGTAAGGTAAAAATAAAAAGATACCTTAATCAGCCACACATTCAGACGCTGCAGTGAGAAGCCAATGAAATGCATCTTAAGAAGCAATGACAAATCACGTCAAACTAGTAGCAACACTATAAAAAGCGACCTGACGTTACACAGAACTAGTGACATCAAAAGTCCATTAATCCTACCAGCAGCACAAATAGCCACGATCCAGATCTTCTTCCAGCAACCTGATGAGCACGGCACCGGCGCTCATCAGTCCAAGATCCAACTGCAAATAACAGGCACTCTTAGTTTTCACTAAGGCACATCCGGTGCCTTAGTGAAACGTAAGTGAAGGTGGGGAAACGGGGCCTGGATGTATTCAAGGGCCCTAAAACGGGTGGGAATTTGCAGCAACTTTATGTAAACTATGTTTTCCACGTAAAACCACCCGGTTACATAAGCATAGAGAATACGGTATTAATACTGGTCAAATACACATCATTTAAAATTTCTCTAAAATAATCAAGTCTATATATAAATATAAATATTAGGATTACTGTGGACCCCCTTCATGGCTCAGTACTCACCTATTTGCAGGTTTTTCTGTGGTATGTGACTCCAAATTTTTTGTAGAAATGTATTGGTAAATATTTTCAATGTATATATCTAAAATATTCACACAGGCTGAAGTGAAGAAACCGAAACATATTTAGGTCTGGGTTTATTGTGACTATAGTGTCATCTCTCCTCACGTGCAACCAGGATTTCCTTTAAGAACATCTCGGTCCCCTTTTTTTGTCACATTGGAAACTATTTCGCATTATGCTGCCACTATCATGTTTCTCAGAAGCTAAGTCGACCCATATTTTCTAAGTCAATATGTGTGTGTGTGTGTGTGTGTGTGTGTGTGTGCGCGCGCGCGCGCGCGCGTGTGTGCGTGAGCGTCTGTCCATCTGTTTCTAACTCGTACACAGCGTGTTGTGAACACCTATGACGTCGAAATTGCTCCATCAATGCTGTAACTCTGCTCTGCAGAGGTTTAAACTACCAGCAGGGGGCACCACGGTGCTTTTACATACTTCTAATGGAGAAAAAGAAAACACCTCCTCAACGATAAATGACTAATGCGTTTTAAATGCAAGAAAATTTGAACTGTGAGAACAATGAGTTTCTGGAAAACCCTAATATTAGAATATGCAAAACAAAAACCAAAAAAAAAAAAGCGTTTTAAGTGAGATCATAGCCGTCATTTCAGAACTGCTGATTCATAGCCAAAACTCAAGATTAGAAAGTGAGATCACAAGATTTTTTTACAGTAATTAATAGATATTACTCTACAATTAGAAGACGTACTGTGATGGTATTGTGATTTTTGTTTGTTTGCTTTTGACATTTAGAAATAGTCTAGATTTCAGCATTTTCAGATTATAATAGAGAAAATGACCCCAGATTACCAAATAAAATCAGTTGAACAAACTTATTTAATGCAAAACTTCTGTTTGAGGGTAAAGTGAGATAAGTGGTTGCACTAAGTGTGTGTGACACTGAAATATAGAGTCATTTTTGCACTGTTCTAAGAAGGATGTTGTTTGGGGAAGTGTAGCAAGTCATAAAGCAGCAAACGTTACTTCTGACTATACAAAGATCACTGAGCACACAAAGTGTATCTCAGCAACAACTCTCCGTGTAATCTGCAGATAAATCAACAAAGTGTGTCAAAGTTCATGTTTTGTTTTTGTATGTTAAGCAGAAAGCTTTAACGCACAAAAAGATCAGACTTGACACTGAAAGAATAGTTTCACTACTTTACTTCTGAGGACGAAATATGGGATTTTTATTTTTTTTATGTGTTCATTTTGGCAATAGTGACATGATTTGGCACAAGAGCACAGACAGAAATTATTCAGAAATAAGAATATCTTTCCCCATTTTACCTAACAATATTTTAGATTAAAACTTTTGTTTCACTTTTTTGTATTCACAAATTAAAACAGTGTTGCAAAGAATCAGAGATAGGAGACAGACTATTTTTAGCAGAGGTTTTTAAACGTGTGCTAAAGTGTGTTGTGATTTTCACAATATTTCTCAGTCCAAAAAACAAACAAAACATTTTTTTAACTTCCTTAAAACGTTAATATTACGTTAATGTCGAGAAAACACCATTAAATAAATTAAATTGAAATCACGTGAATAAGTCCGTTCACGCGATAAGTCAGTAAAATACATATGGCAGCTACTTCCTGTGGTCGATCTTCTTCCTCGTAGTTTGCAAGGTCCGGTGGTAGTTTTAGGGTAGTTTTGCGAAATAACCTGCCAAAAAAAAAAAAACCTACCTAATGTTAGAGCCAAAACGTTTCATTAAAGGAGAAGTTTTTTTGTTGTTTTTTTTTGGCATGCTTCCATTAAGCACATTTATTTTTACTCTGTGCAGCCATATTTTCTCATAGTTGACTCTGTACAACTGAGCTGAACAATTAGCAAACTATTTTCAAGAGGGCTGCCTTAGTGTCCCTTTGTGTCATAATGGTGATATATAAGAGGACTCAAATGCAGACAAGCAGGAAGAGGCAAAAATGGAAATAAACAGCTGGAATGAGGAGCGTAATGGAAGCCGATGTGAGAGGAAAAAAAGAACAAAAGGGAATAAATACTAATCTAATTAAACAAATCCAAAACACAATGACAATAACTGAACTAACTCAATAAAAAAAATAAAGACATGATTAAAACAACCAAACATCAAAGGATCAAAACACCTGAAAACATAAAAAACTTTTTTTATTCAATAATCTGTGAAACTATTTTGAAAGAACAAAAACAAAAAAATTGGGGATTTTTACCAAATGTATGTCTAATAATAACTCTATTACTGTTAAAGTGAGTTGGAATTAGTTTGACCGTAGAAAAATGACTGAGTGTTTTTTTTTATTATTATTATTTTCTTCTTGGTGTCAGTTAGACAGACGTGACAGACGTGACTGCGTAAAAAAAGAAAAAAAGAAGAAGAAAAACTGACAGAGCGCGCGTGAGGCGGAAGACTGAGTCAGTCTTCAGTCAGGCAGCAGACGGAGAGGATCATGAGGCGGACCAGGTTTCCTTCCCATCACCAGCATCACTCCAGACCCAGCTAAGGAACGATGTGTAACAACACCACGGAGGTGGTGCAGGACTACCCTTGCGTGCGCTTCTACGTGTCCACCCTCTCCTTCTCGGTCCTTCTCTTCTTCAACCTCATCATCAACTGGACCATAGTTCGGGAGGAGCGGCTGCGGAGCCATGCGCGCTTCGTGCTGGTCTTCCACCTGCTGGTGTCCGCTCTGGTCCACCTGGGCGTGAGCAGCGTCTTCTACTACCAGATCCACCTGAACGCCCAGCTGAGCCCCAACGCTTGCCGGGCCATGATCACCGTCCTGATCAGCAGCGCCTCCAACATCCTGCTGACGCTCACGGCCATGGCTCTGGACCGCTTCGTGGCCGTGTGCTACCCGATGCGCTACACCTCCGCCTGCACGGCGGCGTACTGGCCGTGGCTGCTGGGCGTGCTCACCTGGATGGTTGCCCTGGCGATCCCCCTCAGCCTGCCTCTCAACCCGGGTCCCTCGGCGGGAGAACATGTTACTTGCGACCGGAATCAGCTGAAAAGGGGCGAGTTCCAGAAGGTGGTGTTCATCGGACTGTGCACGCTGCTCATTCTCTACAGCTACGTGAGGATCCTGGTGGAGGGACGGCGGCTCGGGGTGCTCAACCGGAGGAACCGGGCCGGCTGCAGGACCATCGCCCTGCACGGCACCCAGCTGGCCGTTTACATCCTGCCCAACTTCGTGAACTTCGTGTTGTACCTCATGTTGAAAAAAAACATTATTGAGAGTGACACCAAGGAGCTGTCCGCCGTGGTTATCTTTGCGTTCTTCAGCGTGGCGCAATGCGTGGCGCCCGTTGTTTACGGCTTGCGCAAAGAGGAACTTCTGGAGCAGCTGAATCGTCGGTTCCCCTGCTGCTCCCGGTACCTGAAGGCTGTGCTCGGCTGGACCGTGAGAGCCAACTGGCCCCATACACAACCCAGAGGAAGGTATGTCGAGCTCGGTCACGTTTCTCGATCTCTTCGGAGTTACGCAGGGGCGTCTCCAGAAAGGTTTTTAGAGGGGTGCCCAAAAGGGGGCCTTGGGGGGGGGGGGGAAACCAAACCCACAATTAATTTATTCATCAACTTATGCTTTTTCCTTGTTGTATTATTATTATTATTATTATTATTATTATTATTCTGAAGTTTTGCTATGGCTCTTAGCCTGGTTTTCACCCCTCCACCTCATCTGGGCGCCTCTTTCAGAGCATTCTGGAACAACTCCTGCTGATTCTTCATTCCTGCACAAAAAAAAACATGTCCAGGAGTAGTTGGCAGAAGATAAATATCAGAAAAATGTAACATTGTCCTCTCTGCCGAAAGCTACTTTATGGGCTCAAAATATGAATCACTAACAAAGTTATTTGTTACTTTGTATAGACAGATCGTTCTAAATTGCAAATGCAATCTAATATCTAATTTTTAAAAAATGGTATGTCCTGAAAAAAAAAAAAGGCCATGCAATATTTTGTCAAGTAATTTCAGAAATACATTTGTTTTTGCATTGTTCCACGAATTCTCCGTTTTGCAAGTGGTCGTTTAGAATCTGAGGAAATCCGTTCCTCTGACTGGAAAGTGGAGTGTTTACCATCAGCGCTTAAAGTTCAGATTCAGCTGCAAGGGTATGTAACATCCTGTGTTGCGTTCTTTGATGTTTTGAGTTTTTGAATTTCTCCACTAAGGGATGAAACCCTTAAGGCCGGTCAGGTTGACACCCGCACTTCTTTTTTTTGTCAGCAGAACAATGTTGGAATACCGTTGGAATGTAGCTTTGATTTGTCTTGCTGAAGTGAACCTTAGTTTTACTGGGAAAGTTTAGAATTCAATTGGTGGGTCCATTTTTCCCCAAGTCCAGATTCTTTATTAACTTTGACCAATTTCACGCAACATTTGAAGCTTGGACTTAGACACATTTGATTGGACTGAGACATTAAAAGGGGAGTTGAAGACAACCTGCAGTTTTCACACCTTTGAATCACCCGGCGACATGGTGACAGCCCCTCAATATGGCTGACTTCCTTAAGCGTTAGTGGGCATCTGGGCTTGAGGGTGTGATCCACCGCTGGCAGCTGGTCTGTGTGGTCAGGATATTAAAGGAAAAACACACAGAGACCGCCACTGTGGTGCATCCTCTTACCATTTACACACATGGGCTGCAATAAAGTCTGAGGAGAAGGAAAACATCAACGGACTTCAGCTGAGGGTAGTTTTTTTTGTTGTTGTTTTTTTTTGTTTTTTCCAATTACCTGACACATTTTCCGTGCAAAGCACCATGCTGACATCCACTCCTCGCTTCCACAATGTTGGCTCAAGTTTTTTTTTTTTTTTTAGCTGATGTATGTGATTTCTTGACACTCGCATTGGTTTGTGGCGTGTCATCACTCAGAGAGAAACTCATCTTTGTGGGTTTAATAAGTTTATATGTTGGTTAAGTGACTGTAAGTATAAATTATAGGTGTATTTATGTTCCACCTTCCAGTCATTGCTCTTCTAAACACTCACTTTCAAATAACTGTAAAAAGGATTGGTGCCATTTGAATACAGTTTGGTAAAAATGAGGGTCATCAATGGGTATGTAAGTTGATTTGGTCAGAGAGTGCCATCAGTGTGCTACAGGCAGTACTGGGAGCACCTGACAGTCGATCAAAACTGTGACTGACTTGCACCAGATAAGAGAGATGATTCATGGACAGTAGTAGTAGTAGTTAGAGGCATGATGCAGCTACCCAGAATGCAGGGCATGCAGATGTCAAAGTGCCTTGATGTGATCCTGCTCTTCAGTACTTCTGGGTCAGAATGTATCTGTTTTGATCTTGTGTATTTTCGCCCATTTTAAAGCCACTGACGGCTGCTGCTGCTTTTAAGTCTCTGTAAGACAGGAAGTACACTCTTGGACCGGTTCAGTGTTATCTGCTCTCACCGAGCGAGGTTTTGCTGGAGATTTCTTCCAAGTTATTCCTTTCCGCTGTCGCCACTTGCACACTCAGGATGAGGGATTTCTGCACACTTATTGACTCGACTTAGTTTCCTTTGATATAAAACTTTTGGTAATTCCTGCAGCAAACAGAACTTGAGTAAATTGTCTTATAAATGTTGATTGAATGGAAATGTGTGCAATTCAATGATTGGATCCTTTTAAACATATGTTTCTGTAAAAATTGGAAGCAGCATAGCTCCATGTTCATATAGACCTATTCATAAACTGATTTAATTCCTGTGGTGCTTGACAATGTTTCTGAGCTGTAGCTTTCTTTATTTTTCATATCTGAAAGACGTATCCCTGCTAAAATTAAGTTAAAGGTAAATCTCTCCTTATGTTCGCTCACATAAGACACAAATTTTTAACCATCCTCAGTCCCGCCCCAGAAAAACTTACACTTCACTTGGTACCCAAAGCTCAAATCTTTTATTAATCCTAGCTAAAATTACAAATAGTTTATTTTTAACTGACATATTAATGTTTCCATGCCATCTGTTTTGTCCAGAAAGATATAAAAATATGGTTAACGAGGTGCAGAGTGGAATATTTGAGGTGTGGGCTATCATACATATCTTATTTCTATCTAACAATGCATTTAAACATTCATCCGTTGTTTATATTTACTTATCCTTGCAGAGTTGTTGGTGGCTGGTGCTTATATTTCCATAACTCCCTGAACATGTCACCAGTCCATCACAGGGTAGTGATTAAATATGTCTGTGAAACCTCCCCCCCCCAGAAAAATTCAAAATATAGTCAACTATCATCTTACGTTACAGCTACATTTAGTAGTTGTTTGGCTGTCAATAGGGGCTCATTTAGTCTGAGGATCCTGTGCTGAGACCTTGTAGACTGTAAAGGCGTGATGAGAAGAGAAGTGGCCATTTCTAATCCCGATTCCAAATAATAACATCTGAAAAGTCTCATGCAATTAACATAAATACAAGAAAAAAACAACAACTCTTGACGAAGAACTCAGACGTCCCTGAAGGGTTTAGCTGCCTTCACTACAGTTGTAAAATGACTAACATATTTTTGTAAAGTCCAGTGGGAAAATGTCACGCAGGATGCTTCCCTATTTAAAATAAACAACGTTAAGTCACATGAGCTGTCTAAATAAAGGTTCGCATTTCGTGAAACATTTAGGTCACACTGATGAGCAGACGGTGACATGGCTGAGGGAGTCATTGTTGATTTTGTGTGCAGCTGCGCCGAAGATGAGTCGTTCTGAAGAAAAATGAGAATCCAGGAATTTTGAGCGCCTAGGAAAAAAGCTAATGCGTTCTGGTATTACAGGTGCTACATCCAATGCGTTACTTCAGAAAAGGCGCTAAGTGGATTTCAAAAGAATTTAAAGAGCCATGTCAACTCACCGCCTGTTTTGTTACTCTTGTTTATTTTTTTGTTCAGGGAGCGGACGCTGACTGCTCAGACCATCATCTCCTTGGAAGTCCCACAAGAGAACCGGGAGGAAGAGACCGAGCCGCTGCCAGACACCAGTCGCTCACATGATTCACATTCATACAAAGGAATTATGGACAACGCCTGATGGGAAAGGCTAATTAATGCCAAGATTAGAGGGAAAAGCCTTTGTTTCCAACATATATTGTTATCTTGTGCTGGAAAGGAACTTTGTGAGATGCTTCTAATGAATTCCTTCAGAAGAAAATTGGATATGCAGATGCAAGGGAAAACACAAAGCCAGATATTGGACTATTAATTCTTCTTTCATCTGAAGCTTTCTCCAAGGCCAGGTGGAACAGTTGTCTGATTGCAGAAGTCCTTTGTATGGCTCAGGGGAAACCCACTCGTCCGTCTGCATCCGACCTCTTCCTCCTTTTGGGACAATGCTGACTGGCACGGAGGATATATTTGAACGTTTAGCCATCTGGATGTTTTGTGTCATTCATACCCTGGGATACCAAAAATGTGTCAAGCCTGAAATTCCTTATTCACTGATTTCCTGAGGCTGAAATCAGCTGAAGGAACTAAAGTTACATAGCATGTTTCTTGCTATGTAAGAGTTGATTTTCATCATTCATGCATGCATTTCAAGATAGCGCGCTACTACAGGCAACCATTTCCATTTTTTCTCCAAAGGTTAGAAAAAGGGTTTGAAAAAAAATTGCTTAATACTTTGAAGTAGCTCTTCTTTTAAAGTGATGATAAACAAATGGCAGAAATCACATATTGTCCACTTTCTGCTTGTTCATCACACCGTTATGCAACTTACAACTTATTTATTTAAAAAAGACTTACTCCCCATTTACTAACTATTTTCAGCTGATCCCATAAGCTACATTTCAAAATGTGAATTTTTTCCTGAATATGTTACCGTTTTTATAAAATTCTAAAAAATATCAGAAAAATAAAATATTCAAAACATTACATTTTACTGTAGTTTATTTTTGCTATTGTGTTTCTTCATAAAAACACAGTGTGACCAATAAAAAATCAGCTTTCAAATGATTTAAGTTTTTTTTTTTTAAAGGAGCAGTACTACAATTTTACTTCACATTGAATCGTGATTTCAATGGAACTGAATACATTTTTCTTTTAATTAAATTTACAAACCGCATCCAGACTCTACAACGATCTGATGCAAAAAAAAATATATATATATATATATATA